GGTTTATTGAAATGCCATCTAATTATAAATTAGCTGTAGATATCAGGTGCTTCTGATGACTGAAAATATATATCTGACTTGTGGGAAACTTCATGGGTTTCCTTATTTATCATGTATGTGATTATATATGGACACATTTACAAAATAAGAAGAGTGGGATTTTTCCCCTTCAACTTGAATATTATCCCTGTATATTGCATGAATGAGAGATTTCCCATATTTCCATCAGAGTAATATACTTGCTTTAATTCTTAAGCATAAGTGAACAAGATAAAAAATATATGCTGAATTACTTGTGAAGAATGCATTTAAAGCTATTTTAAATGTGTTTTAATTTGTAAGACATCACTTAATTAAGAAATTGGTTATTATACTTACTGTTCTAATTTGGTGGTAAAGGTATTCTTAAGAATTTGCAAGTACTTTAGATTTTCAAAATTGAATGAGAGAGAACATTGTATAACCGTCCTGCTGTTCCTTAGTGCAATACAATAAAACTCTGAAATTAACTTATTTTCAGTGCATTGTTTTAAAGATTACAAATAGCTATTTCTTACACTTGCTTAATCCATAATAAAGACGTATTAGTCAGTTTTTTTTTTTTTAAAAAAATAGTAGAGTATGACATTGTGTGTATGTGTGTTTGTTGTTTTAAATACCATCCCTGGATCTAAAAAACGTAGTTTTAAGTGTCTAAGCACATTACCCTCTGTTGTCACTTGACAAGGTTCATAAACATTGATGGCACAGCATCATCATTTTTCTTAACCAATTCAAAAAATTATGGTGGCACCTTAAAATGTTAAATTTTGTTTTCCTTTTTGAAACAGCAGTTTTTTAAGGAAAAATGACCTATTAAATTTGAGTTTTTTGCTGCTGCTTGTAAGGCAGGTAAATTATGGCTTGTGTGTTTTTGTAAGAATTGTGCTTTATTTGGAGTGCCGTAGTTGAGGCAATTGAAAATAGCGTGAGTGGCTCCAAAATTTCTTAAACAAAAGATCAAAGAAAGAAAACCAATACATAGAAATTCCACATAATGATCAAGGTAGTTTGTGGTTGAGTTTATGGAATTCTTACTCTAAGAGCTCCTTAAATTAGATGCTGCTGAATTCTCTGCTAGTGAAGAAATGCCTCCCCACCTTTTGGGAAAATAGCTGTTCACTGTTTGGGATTGTATAACAGGGTAAGTGTGCTGAAGAAGAGGTTGTAGAATCAGAAGAGAGAGGAGAGCCAAACTATTTCCTAATGAGAGAAGCTTTAAAGACCTTACATTTTATGGTCTGGACGACAGACACCTTGAGGGATCTGCCTCTTGGGTTGTTTCATGCAGAAAATTATTTATTGACCAGTTTCTAGGCATTGAAAATTTGTGCTCAGAGTCTGAGCAACCATTCAGCTTCTAATCCAGCTAATTATGTCAGCACCTACTTCTCATTTTTCTTTTTGGTTCACAAGTAACTTTTGATCATGTGAGACCTTGCCAGGTCCAGATAGGATTCTTGGGGCTGTTACTTTAGCATTCCTGTTGAAGTATTTGCACGAGCCCTTGTGGTCTCTTAGCAAGCACTACTTTCTAAGTTTTAACAGATCTCCTTTTAATAATATACTCCAGAATATTCTCCAAAATTCTGCAAGGCTTACTGGCTGCAATTTGTGGAAGCCACCTTCTCATGCTTCAAAAATTAGATATGTAGTCCTTAGCTGATTCATTACTCAAAGGTGACTGACTGATTGCCAGCCAGTATGGTTCACCCATCTCAGTGGTAGGTGGGTGGCTCCTAGGCACGTGATCAATTAAAAGATTGAGTGCCTGGAAGCTCTCACAATATCTTCCCATCTTTGAGACAACCTGGGTCGCTCAGTGGTTGAGCATCTGCCTTTGGCTTAGGTCAATGATCCCGGGGTCTGGGGATTGAGTCTTGCATCAGGCTCACCCTCACTGTGGGGGGCCTGCTTCTCCCTCTGCCTATATCTCTGCCTCTCTCTGTGTGTCTCATGAATAAATACATAAAATCTTAAGAAAAAAAAAAGCTAGAAGAATGTTTTCCTTGCCATATTTTCTTCCAATTATATGTTTATGAATAGTATTCAAGGAATATTATTGCCATGGTGCAGATAATGGCTGGTGTGTATCCTACCCTGCAGGGGTGTGAGCTTTGATTTTAGGTGTGGCTACGTCATAGTGTGATATATCACACCCACCCAATTAAATAGTGATCTGTATTTAACAGTATTTATCTAGTTTACTTATTTATTTATCATTCAGCACTCACAAATGTGCATCTCTCAATAATCAGTTGTACGGTATAATTGTAAATCAGAAATTTTGACAGCAAAAATATTTTAAAACAACTCTATTCAAGGGAAGGATAAAAATATACCTGTCTAGCATTGTTCATAAAAGTACTCCTATTCATAATTTTGGGAAACTACTATTAGTCTCAAATTATTTAAGCTCTTTTTTTGTTCAAACCACTCACTGACCTATGGTCAGAGTGGCAGCTAATGAGTCTGGTACCAGTATTATAGGTCAGAAGAAGATTCTGAACTAATACTTTAGAAGTGATGCCAAGAGAAAAACTGTGGCTCTGTTTCTGGATATGTTGAATAGCTTTCATTAAAATTAAGAGTCCTAAAGCTAAGTATCTAAAAGAAGTAAACAACTCTGCTGCTTGTTCAACTTAGTTTTGGGAAGCAGTATTAACTGTATAGAGTGATTGACCTGTGGGACCAGAGTGAAGATTTCATCCTATGTTAATTTTACTAATGCACATGTGGACACAAAGATGTAGAGAGCATCTTTACATGGAGAAGTTCATTTTATCGTACAGTGCTTTTCCTAAAACACATCTCTTCACTAACCACGTTCATATAGTCTAGAGAAGAAAAATTTCCTAAGTAATAGATTGACTACTAGGTAGACCCTAAAACTACTGAGAGAAAGCATGGCATATAGTTAGCCATCTGCTCATGGTTTATTAAATCTGAGTTAACCTGATTGGTGTGGTACCACTGTCCAGAGAAAATGCCCATAAATAGTCCTACCTTCTTAGAGCTTGATTTATTTTGCTTTTGTATATTAAATAAAAACTGTCTCAAATGTTTCCTTGTGTAGTTTATGGTTAATGGCTGAGTCTGTGTTTTAATTTCAGCAGCTAACTCTGGCTTGTGTGTGACCAGGACTCCAGATTGTGTCTCTGCTTGTGATGAGGGCGGGCTATCCCCACAGGTTAGGTAGAGAAAATACTTTTCCAACAGTGTAGAATTACCTTTTTTTTTTTTTTTTTTTTTTGAGTAATACTCTTCCATGTTTCTCTGTTATGGAATAATTGATGTTTTCCCTTAATACTTAGTATTAAAGTAAGTATTTTTAAACATGGAAGGCTTAACTAGCATTTGATGTAAAAATGAGAGAAGCATGCACTTTGAAAATTCAGTTGATTAAGGATTTGATTAATCCATGCCAATATTTTCCTTCCACTTTAAGTGTTCATGAATAAGCTATATATTCATATTAAGAAGAAGAGATGTAAGATTTGATAATGTCAATTTCAACAATGTCCTAAAGTTTAATAGAATATTGTGATTTTTTTTTTTAAAGATTTCACTTATTATTCATGAGAGACAGAGAAAGAGAGGCAGAGACACAGGCAGAAGGAGAAGCAGGCTCCATGCAGGGAGCCCGACATGGGACTCGATCCCAGGACTCCAGGATCATGCCCTGAGCAGAAGGCAGGCGCTAAACTGCTGAGCCACCCAGGGATCCTGAATATTGTGATTTTTAAATGTATTTGGCTGTAATACTGAAACCATGGAGAAGGTCAATTTATTACTACAGCCTGAACTTATTAAAAAAACTTTTTTTCTGGCTATAACTTTTGGCATTTATTATCTTAGATAAGAAACCCCTCGTTTAAGTATTAAGGTACTGGTGGGATATGGGGTTCTCCCATCTTCCTTAGTATTCTTATATTCTAGATTCTTGAAGTAGTGCATATATAAAAGTATTAAAATACTGATTTTATATTATGGAACACACTGTCTCTCTGATCTGAAGATCCCAAATAGCACTAGTAATTGTTTTATTTATTTTTTTATTTTATTTATTTATTTATTTATTTATTTATTTATTTATTTATTTATTTATTTATTTATTTATTTTACTCATGATAGGCACACAGTGAGAGAGAGAGAGAGGCAGAGACACAGGCAGAGGGAGAAGCAGGCTCCATGCACCGGGAGCCCGACGTGGGACTCGATCCCGGGTCTCCAGGATCGCGCCCCGGGCCAAAGGCAGGCGCCAAACCGCTGCGCCACCCAGGGATCCCTAGTAATTGTTTTAAAGTGTTCCCCAATGAAATTAAAGTAGATCAGCAGCAGCAAGAAGAGTGTGAGACAAAAGAAAACTGGCAATCACATGATTATTCAGAAATGAAGTTTTGATGTGAAATAAATTTACTTTGGCGTGGAAGTGCCTATGACTCTTGTTTCACATTGACTCCAAGGGCCTACTGTATGTAGTGCTGAAGCCCCCATGCCTGTTAAAACATCCTTGCCTACAGTGCTGACTGCTTAGCATTACATTTTAAGACAAAAAGACATGTTCAGTAGCATAGGGTGAAGTGAAGCAGCAAGATAATTGGAGACTTAATTTGTGGGTAAGTGTTTCCAACATAAATGTGAAAGAGGGGTTAAATGTGTAGTCCCTAGGGCAAAAACATGAATGCTCTAAAAACAAAGCAGCTGTCTGACCCAGTGGATTCCTCATATCTGAAAATGTTGTAGCAAATGCTGGATAAACACCTATTGGGGATGATCCAGTATTGGGTGGGAGGTGACCAAGACAACTCATAGGATCTCTCACACTTTTGTAGGTCTATGAAGTAGAAAAAAACATGGGAGAAAATGTGGGAGGAATAGAGGTTGAAAGTTATTTGATTTTAGCTTGGGTACTCCTACCAGTTTTTATATTTACTACTATGGCATATTCCACCCAGTAGTTATAAGTTGTAAAATGAGGTAAAAGTGTGGTAAATAATAAAGATAGGCAGTCAGCTATTTTTCCATATGCTTGTTTCAGCATTACTTCCAGGTGAAATATACCAGAGAAGCCAATGCATTTCTAAAAAAGGAAATTGTATAACAATTTTTCAATCTTCTATAAGAGATGAGAGACACAACAGATTTGTCAATAAAAGCTTTAGGAATATCTGCACATACACATTTACATTCAAGTTGGTAACACTAGTAAGTTTCATTTCAATACAGATTATGTTAAATAGCCCTTAAATTTCAGACATGGTCATATATATGTTATTTGAAATTCTTTATCTAGATACAGATCTTGATAATGGATCTCTTGATGATAGATGTGCAGCTAGTTTGTCCCGAAACTCATGAAGATAATTATATTGCTGAAAAAAGTAAAGATACATTGAAATATACTGTAGAAAACTAGTTAGCAGAGTAGTCACAATACCAGTAGCAATTATGAATAAAAAAATAATTGCTAAGAACAGTTCTACAACTTTTGAGTAAGGAAGTGTTTGCATTATGAGAATTTTTACCTTTCAGTAAAGCTGCATATAGTGTGAAAAACTATTGCTTTAAAAATCAGAAGGTAGCATTTAGTGCACATGAATGTTTTATAAATCTGAAAAATCCTTTCTCACTTTCCTGGCAGGAGCAAATTAAAATTAAGAATATTACATGAAGGCCTTCTTTTTGCTAGTATATTTTACCTCTGGGGTTAAGTAGGGAGGAAAGCGTACTTTCTATAGCAATTAACAATGGTATATTCAAGAAACTATTTCTTAATTTATGGAAGCCCTAGATTTCTGCTTCTTGGGGTGACGTAATCCATCTGGAACAACGTTCATAGTAGTCAATGTTTAAAAAATCACTAATTTTAACAGATAAGTGAAAAAAGGCTTTCATTTATTTGCAGTTTTAATAGTTTCCCAGAGGATATTCTTATTCTGCCAATAATCTCATTTCTTACATTACTGGGAAGTGAACGTTGCGCACTGCTAGCTGTATCAGCACGGAGATGGGAGAGCCTGTTTGCTACAGAGTGCTGAGGTGATCAACTGACAGCCCATATGACGTGGGCTTCATTGTCTCCAGGATAAAAGATGTAACATGCACACACGTGGATATGTTTGCCCATTTGGTTTTGTTTCAGACACCTGAAAACATTTTGAATTTGAAGAATCATTTGATTTTAAGAGGTAAGAAGGGGAATTCTCTGTTTTCAGAACCTGTACAGTGAAGTGGATCCTCTATGGATTGTTTTGAATGATCTTATTTAAGCCCTGAGAATCAGGCTGGTTGGTGAATTTGTCAGTTACTATTAATATTTCACATTCATGACTGTTGGGTAGACCCCTGACTCTGGGAAGAGGGACTCAAGTCCAGGAAGCTGCTAAAGGCCAGGACTCTTGTGCCTGATTCCGTGATTGAGTCCTAATGCTGAGACAGGGCACTTGGGAAAGGAAGACAAATTAAGTTTACAAATCCAGAAACAAAGTGAAATCTGCAGAATCTTTCAGGAACATTAATATCTAATAATATTCTTGGGGCACTGCTACTGCAGAGATTTTTAAGTGTTAAGCGGGGAGGAAATGTGTAAGCTGTCACTTGAGTTATCCACAGCAAAGGATAATTAGCATTGTTTTGCGGGGTGTTTTTCTTTCTTTTTTTTTTTTTTTGTATTACAGTCATCCATCTGTCTTCATTGACTATTTTGGTGATATGATAGGATCTTTATTAGATCTTTCTGGCCAAGAAACTACCAAGTTTATTGTAATCGTCTCATTTGGTAAAATTTTGAAATTCATTCCAAGAACTGAATGGGCAAAAACTGAACAATAGATCTGGTGAGAAAAAACTGGAAAAGTTCAGATTTTTCATTATTTTCTTTGAAATACTGTGAATTTCTTCAGTATGTTTATATTTAACATAAATATTAATATAACATATTAATTTAACATGTTTATATTTAAAGATAAATTCTGAACAGGTGATACATGAATAATAGAGTGCTTTGGGTTTTCACTGCCCTTTGGGTGATGAATTCCACTGTGGTGTAACTGCCCCCAGCCCGCGAGCACACAGGAATGGGCAGCCTCCTTACCTTGATCGTCTGTATTGCTCCAGACCCTCGCAGGTCTCTCAGGCTGTCGATGGCTTGCTGTGGTGAAACTGTGTCCGACAGGTAGAGCAGGAGACAAGCGGCTACTAATGGAACATGTTAGGAAAACAGTATATGATTAAATAATGATAGGGTAGAGCATTGTGTATTTTTTTATTTTTTAAAGATTTTATTTATATTCATGAGAGACATACACAGAGAGGCAGAGACATAGGCAGAGGGAGAAGCAGGCTCCCTGCGGGTAGAGCCTGATGTGGGACTCGATCCTGAGACCCTGGGATCAGGCCCTGAGCCGAAGGTGGATGCTCAACCGCTGAGCCACCCAGGTGCCCCAGCATTGTATATTTAATTAGACTTCCGCTGGTGCAGAAGATGGAGTTTTGGTGTCAGTGTGCAAAATGAATTAAAAGACATTTAGTAGGTGTTTTTGACAGTTAAATTATGATTTCAAATGATTATGGTTGGTTGAAGTTTAAACTGGCTTCATTCTTTTTAACAGCTTTATTGAGTTCTATTTAATATACCATATAATTCATTCATTTAAAGTGCACAATCCAGTGGATTTTAGTGTATTCACAGATTGGTGCAGCCATCGCTGTAGTCGATTTTAGAACATCTTAATCCCCTCAAAAAGAAATCCTGTCTCCTATTGTCATCTCCCTGCCCCCAATTACCTGCCCTAAGCAACCACTAATCTACTTTCTATGGGTTTGCCTAACCTAGACATTTTATATAAGTGCAATCATATGTGGGCTTTTGGGATTGGCTTCTTTGCATAATGTGTTCAAGACTCACCTATTATGGCATGTAACTACTTCATTCCTTCTTATAGAGAAATAATATTCCATCATATGGATATACATTTTGTTTATCCATTGTCAGTTGATGGGCATTGGGTTAGTTCCATTTTTGGGCTATTGTGAGTAATGCTGCTATAAATGTCCACGTACAAGTTTTTGTGTTTTCATTTGTTTTGGGCATATATAACTAGCAGTGGAATTGCTGAGTCCTGTGGTGACTCTATGTTTAATTAACTGTTTGAAGAAGTACTGCCAGATTTTTTCAGAGCAGCTGCACCATTTTACATTCTCTTCAGCAGTGTATGAAAGTCCCAATTTCTCCACATCCCAATGCATATTTTCCATTTTTTTGGATAATGGGCATCCTAATGGATATCAAGTGGTATCTCATTGTGGTTTGGATTTGCATTTCCTTGATGACTAATGATGTTAGGCATTTTTCATGTCCTTAGTGGTCATTAGTATATTTTGTTTGGGGAAATATTCAGATCCTTTGCCTATTTTTAAATTGGATTTTCTTTTTATTATTGAGTTGTAAGAGTTCTTATATATTCTAGGAAGTCCCTTATCAGATATATGGTTTGCAAATATTTTTCTTCACTCTGTAAGTTGTCTTCATTTTGATAGTGTCCTTAGAAGCATAAAAGTTTTTAATACTGTTCAACATTAATTAAAAGGAATAACTCTTTCTCCAGTATGGCAGTTTGTTAGCTACTTTTTTTTTCTAACACATTTAAAAAAAAAAGTGAACAGTAATTGCATGAAGTAATTATAATTAACTTCAGTTTTCATACTTATGATGGATATTATTTAGAATTTGCTGTCAGTATCATAACACCTGCATAGGGAAAACATTAGAAAACACAACACAATGCAAGAATGCAGGTGCTAAGACTTAGAAATAATGTTTTGCAGAAACCTCAAAACAATGTTGAAAATACCTCCCATTCTGCACTCTGGCTTTCTAGAGAATACCAAATTAAGGGCCTTACATAATTCTTTAGGTCTTAGCAGACTTATATTGTGTTTTGTCTCATTTTAACACAAGGTGAGCATACGGCCCAGAAACAGGATACTTTCACCTACTTTGAGGATAAAAAAAAAAATACTGAGTAATGAAAATACATTTCTTACCAAGGCAAGATCTCCCAAGTCCTCCATAACAGCTGAAAGGGAAGCACAGTTTTGAATATTGTACATTTTCCTTCCACCTCACTAATTGGAACTAAAGACTTGCTTTTTCTGCCTTCTATTTCTAAACCAAATAGTGCCTACTAGCACAATGCCTGGCATGCAGAGGTTAATAAATATTTTTAAATGAATCAAGAGCAAAGCATGCTTATTTATTTGTTGGTACTCTGAACACTTCTAACTGTCAATGTAGATAGGGCCTTTTTTTGACCTTTTTAAATACCGGGATCCACCTATGAGAAAGAGGGACATGTTACTAAATAGAAACTAGATTATTTTGACCAACTGCCAGTTTATTTTCCTCTGTCTCCATAAAACCTTAGTGGTTATGGAACAAGTCTGTATGACAACTCTTCATTTATCTAAAAAGAATACAGAGGTGGCGTGTTACAGAGGTTGAGAGCCTGGGTTCTGGAGCCCCGCTGCCTGGGGCTGAGTGGTGCATCTGTCAGTCTGACATGTGTGAACCTAAGAAGTTATTTAACCTCTCTGGGCCTCAGCCTTTTTATCTGTAAGATGGTGACAGCCACAGTACCTGCATCCTGGTTAGAACCGAATGAGATAACTAATGTTTGCAAAGGCCTTACAATGGAGCTCAGCACAGGGTAAGAAGTCAATGAATGTTAGTCTGGCCTTCTGAAGAAATCAGCAGTTGTGCAGAATTGGATTTTCCAGAAAAAAAAATCATGATGAAACCTCAAAGCACAAAACCATTCATTCTAATTACTTTCAGAGATGCTTAAAAAATGTTTTACAAGATTCCTAACTTTCCTAGGGGGTTTACTGAGCCTAGCGTGGTGCTGATGACTTCTCAGGAACATGAATTACTGCGGTGTCCTGTAGATGAGGCAGCAGATACGCGTCTTGGGAGAGGATATGAGACAGAGGGCCAAATAGGTACTGACCCCCAGAGTATTCATGAGGTTGCTTTCTACAAAGTGTCCCAGATATAGGGCTGTTTTCAGAGATGAGGGTTTACCCCAGAAAGGTAGGAGGCAGAACACATCAGTGGTTTTCTACAGGATGAATACTGCTTCATACCTATACCTTTATGCTTCTTCCTTTGATTCCTGCTCATCCTTCAAAACCCAGCTCCAATTGCCTTTTCTGACCTGCCTTTGTGCCCCCACAGAAGCCATGTCCTTTGTGCTGCCTTGTGTACTCCCTGTGCGAGTCTTTCTGCACTCACATGGCAGGGCTGTTGGCCCGGGCTCCGTGAAGGGGGGACTGTGCCCCACGGTGCATACTTTGTATTCATAGTGTTTGGTACATAATGGGTATTGTGGGTTGAATCATATCCCCATAAAGATTTGTTGAAGTCCTAATCCCTCATGCTGTGAATATGACCTTATCTGGAAGTAGGGTCTTGGCAGATGTAATCAAATGACGATGAGGTCGCTGGGGTGGGCCCTGATCCAGTATGACTGGTGTTCTTCCAAGAGGAAATACCCCAAGAAGACACAGCAACACAGAGAGAATCATGTGAGGCAGAGGCAGAGGTTGGAGTGATGCAGCTGTGAGCCAAGGAATGCCAATGAGTGACGGCCACCACCGAAGCTAGGAAGAGGCAAGAAAGGGTCCTATCAGAATCTCCAAGGGAACACGGTCCTGTTGACACCTTGGTTTTGGACTTAACAAGCTTCAGAAGTGGGGGAGAGTAAGTTTTTGTTGTTCTAAGCTTTGTAGTACTTTTTACAACAGCATAGTACAGCAGGCAAGCAGTGTTTGCTGATTTTATAAAGGAACAAAAATGCGGAGGGAGAATCAGCGAGACAGTGCTGGTAGACAACAAACTCAGTTTTTGAGGGATAAACCCTAGAGCCATCTAGCAATGTGAGCACTCAAAGATGGCAGAATGGATAGAAGATTATTTTTATCCCAATGTTAGTTACTGTAAGATATCGTGGAAAGCTCTAGTACGATGGAAATTTCTAGTCATCAGATGCTTTATTTTATGGGAGCCAGAAGCATTCTGCATAAGCAAGGCTGCCCGACCATCTTTCTTTCTTTTTTCTTTTTTTTTTCCAACCATCTTTCCATCCTGTTTGTATTCTGTTCAAAAATCAGACAGCATTTGGTGTGCTAGAACCTGCTTCAGTAGACTTTGTTAAATTTCACTAATCTGAGCTAATTTGAGCTGTGGAAACTTCAGTCAAGTCTGCTTTCAAAGATTTATTAAAAAAAAAATCAGAACGGATTTGAAAGATGGGTCCAAAAATTGGAAATTATTTTTCACGAGCTACATGTAATTATTTAATGCTATTTTACTTAGACCTATTAGAAAATTTAGTATAGACAACTTTATCCTAGAATTATGCTGTTATAATTAGCAAAGCAATTAGTAATTGCTTACAATCACAGATTATGCTTTTCTCTAGAGGAAGGTTGGAAACTGTAGAATGTAGGATGCTTTCTAGTTCTTTATTCCCTATTCTCCAGGCTATAGCCCTCTGTACATTAGAGTTTAGTTCGGCCACTGTGTGTGTCCCCAAAGACCCTTGTACTAGTTGGTTTGCCTTCAGAATGGGAACTGTTGGCATGAGGCCCTGGAGCTCTAGGTTGAAGGAGAGCAGTTTGGCTGGGCTTGCCCTTTCCCTAGGTGCCCTGAGATTAACTGGTTATTTGGTATAGTCTGCATACTTTCTAGTTCAAAGCAATGACTTTAGGGCTTTTGAGGTATCAAAGTATTTAATACTCTATCTTGTTCCAGAAAGGATTAAGGAGTTTATCAGGATACAGAAAGTACAAGAAGCACAGAGAAGGACTAGTTTGCTCACTATGGCTGGCTCTCCTCTGCTGTGTGTCTCACTTCTGACAGAGCAGATCTACTGTATTATCCACAGCACCACTTCCCATCTTTGTACTGCTACTGTCTACTGCTGATTGTCACTCCCTTTTTCCTTTCTCCAAGCTACTTTTTTTTTTCCCTTCTCTCCTCCTTTTTTCCCCCTTTCGCCCATTTTATTTTGTTTTAAACTTCCATACCAGCAGCTTGTGCACAGCCATTGACGAACAATGAGAGTCCCTCTTTCATTCTGGTGGCAAATTCAAATCATCAAATATAATCTTCATATATTTAAGATTTCATATTTTTAAGATTGTTCATAGCTTATGAATGATCCCTTTGCAAATTTTTAAAATACTTTTTTTTTTTTTTTTTTTGCTGTTAGAAGCAACTAAGCAACTGAAAAGCTGACCAATGAGTAAGGCTATTATGAGAATGATACCCTACCTTTTGGGAGGAAGAGGGTCACCAAAATTATAAGTAAAGGTCTAAGGGAAAAGGAAAGAATAAAAAGCCTGTAAGCCTGTTCTATAACTTTTCAGATCTACTCATTTATTGTCCTTACTCATCAAAAGTAACAATAGCAAATATCTGAGTGCTTGCCTTGTAGCAGACATTGTGCTAGAACTTTTCATGCCTTATCTCCTTTTAATCCTTACACCAAACTATAAGGTGGGTAATAACTGAGTAAGGATGGAATAGGTAGAAAAATCATTCTGACTATGCCATTCTCCTCATGTCATGTACAGAGAAAAGAAAAACGTACTGTATTAAGGTTTTTCGGTTATTTTTAAGGCAGATTGCAAGTTCCTCCATTATTTCACAGCAGCTGGCTATGTCAGGAGTCCCTCCATCTGGGATTGGATGATGATGAGTGATAATTCCGTACTGATGGTAGAGGTCCAAAAGGTTTGGGACTCTGTATTTTGACAGTTCTCCTCTGGTGCAGAAAACAAATATGTCTTGTATACCACAGCTTTTTAGTTCTTCTGCCAATAGACCAAGATACGGATATACATATACAAAATATTACAAATTTAATACAATCAAGACAGAGAATGTGGTGGTAAATTTCTTAAGCCAAACTAAGTAGATAACACATGATAATCTATAAATTTGAAATACTTATTGATAATCTAAAGCAATATTGATTTGTCTTCAAAGTAGGGTAAAAATCAAGCTACTAAGCACAAAATAGAAATTAAAAACATGTGAACCAAAAGGTGATTAAAATTAAGCCTGACTTAATAATTCAAAATGCTTTTAACTGAATTTTAAGATGAGTCAACTATATTGCTGTTCTTGAAGAAAATCCATTTTCAGTACAACTTTAAAAATAAAATTCAAAACATCTAATATTTCAAAATAAGCCCTTGTGAAGAAATAATAGCACATTATCCCCCCCGTTTTCTTCTCACAAAATCCATGTTTGCCACTTTCCTCACTCTGCCGTTTTGTTTTATCCTAAGCCTTGTATATAAAAACTCCAGTATGCCCATGGTGCCTGAACTCATGTTCTCCTTTCTATTTATACTGTGTTACACCATCATGCATTTAATTTTATGGCCAAGGTCTCTAGGAAATAGAACGTTAACTGTTTTAGAATAAAGTGACTTAGCTAATTTCAGTATAATGAATATGAACCAAGCAGTAGTGCTATGGGCCATTCTATACACTGGAACATTCTTATGGCGATACTCACTGTAGAGTATTAGGTTCAAAATGAATAACTAATTCGGGCTGATCTCAGCCTCCTCTCTCTCTCCCTGCCTTCTAAATCCGGGGACATTTAACTAAGCGCGTTTTATCATGAACCTCCAGATACATACTTGAAATGTGGCTAGTCCAAATTGAGATGTACTGTAAGTGTAAAATACATATCTGTTCTCAGAGATTAAGAACAAAACCCCTGTATTTCATTAATAATTTGTTTTATGATTAAGACCATTGAAAGGATACTATGTAGGCTATATTAGGTTAAATAAAAAATATCAAGTTAATTTGACCTGTTTTTACTTTTTTTAATATGACAACTAGAAAATATAAAGTTACATACAAGGCTTCTATTTCTGGCTCCCATCATATTTCTGTTGGACAGTGCTGCTTTAGATAATACTATTATTTTTTGTACTTCTAAGAGCATTAAACCTGAAGTCAGCATACTTAACCATTTTTAAGAGTAAGTAATTTTCTATCTGCCTCTTGCACACATTGGATAATTTCTATTATACAGTGGTTTTCAAACTTTTCTCAAAAGGACTCTGAGGAGGGAACCACAGGGGGTGATGCAGGGAGATTCTAGGTCTCTCCTATCAGATCGTCATCTTTTATACATTGGATTCAAGATCTCATTGGAAAACAGAAGGTTTGGCAAAATACTGGAAACCCTTTTAATAGAAAATACAAAATGAATAGGGCTTTCCAAAATGTACACGATTGGTTCTTGAGCCAGTGATTGTCATTATATTTTGGTTATGACTTAAATGTTCTCCAAATGAAAACTTCCTATCATGGCAGGTATCTCTAAATCAGAGAATCTTTACAAATACTGTAAGACTCAACTAATCTATTAGCCTCTGTAAGTCTTTTTTGGTAGGTAAGGAATAAATTAGAGAAAGCAAATTAATAAATTGATATTCCAAAACAAACAGGAAAAATTTTTAGGATTTAAAAAATTTATAATGGTCAGAATCAAGATGTGTGTGTGTGTGTGTGCGCGTGCATGTGTATATTAATTTATTTATATTTATTTTGGTGTATTATAAGGACATAGGTAGGACTATTAGCTTTGAGATATTCCAGGCCAACCAAGGTACAATGTTTTGAAAATCCAAGTTTTTTAGCACTGTGCAATATGTAAATTTCAAAATGGGGTGGGATATTAGGATATTTTGGGATTATTAGACTTGAGGCTACAATGGTATAAGCATCCTTGAGCTTGTGAAAATCAAACCCTACTTCATCTTTCCCACCTAGATGTTGGCTCTCTAAATTTTCTACCCAGGATGCTCAATTTCACTACTCCTTCTGGGTTCTCAGCTCAGGCTTAATTTCTAGGATCACAATCAAGTCTGGAAAGGATAGTATGCTCAAAGATCTGGGCAGTGAAATGGCAGTTTTCTATTAATGTATTTACCACCCTCCAACTTAGACATTTTAAACTCAAATGGAATTTCTATGTATAACTACAACAATCAGTGAAAGGCAATGCTATGTTTAGTAAACAAGGAGTTAGTTCTCTGTGCTCTTCGCAAAGACATCTTTGCATAGTAGAGTAAGTCTATAGTTTGAAACTATGAAATAACAAACATTCATTTGGTATGCTGAACAGAGACTAACATTGTTCTTTTTGACAACGAGATTTTCAGTGTTATTAGGAAAAGCTATTAATATGGTTGTTTCATGTTATACCTACCTGTATCTTTTTGGATATTTCTTCTAACATTTTTAAATTTACAACCTACAAGCAGTAATAAGGCAAGTGAAAAAGTCAGTGTTTGGTCACATATAACAAATATATTTAAACACATACACAGCTACTTTATAAGGTCATACCTGTATGATCATTTATGTTTCAATTTCATTTTGAATGTGGATTTCAATTTCTTATATTCTTAGGAATATAATTGTAGGGATTCCTAGAACCCCAGCTAAGGAACTCCTAATCCAAAGATTCTTTATTCTGTGTCATCTCTGTAACAAGTACCTGCCAGTTGTCCTCAGCCTCACCCTGTATCTCAGTGTTTACGTTTTATTAAGGTAGGTAAACCAGAAATGCAGAATTGTGAATGAGTTTGGATGGGCTGAAGAGTGATCTGTGGCTTTTTAGCTAGAGCCCACACAAGGGCTTCCACTACTGAGTTCCCCAGGGTGATGATCTGTGAAATTCTTGTATTGCTCAGTACAGTGATTTATTAACTGACAAAAAAAAAATTATTCTAAGTATATCAATAGGAAGCCAACTGTAGTCTTACCTACCTGGAAGAGCACATAAACCAAGAAACTGAGAACAATTCACTTGTGACAGGGGTAGCCTGAAAAGAATAAAACTTGAAGTTTAGTTCAGTTTTTAAGTTATAAATGGAAATTCAATTTAACAAATCTGTGCTTGGCACTGAACAAGGGTGTTTTAAAGTTTTATCATAGTCACAAAACAAAAATGCATATGCAAATATCAATATGCTGTTCACAAAAAGGACCAGAAAGATTGGAAGTTTTATTTATTTTTAAAGAATTTATTTATTTATTTGAGAGAGAGAGAGAGAGAGAGAGAGAGAGGCAGAGACACAGGCAGAGGGAGAAGCAGGCTCCATGCAGGGAGCCCGATGTGGGACTCGATCCTGGGACTCCCAAGATCGCTCCCTGAGCCGAAGGCAGGCGCCAAACCACTGAGGCATCCAGGGATCACCAGATTGGAAGTTTTAAACCAGGGACTTATCATTTGCTTTGTCACATGTCACAGTTTAATTTCCTTCCTTCCTTCCTTCCTTCCTTCCTTCCTTCCTTCCTTCCTTTTTTTTTCTTTTTTCTTTTTTTTTCTTTCTTTTCTTTTCTTTTCTTTTCTTTTCTTTTCTTTTCTTTTCTTTTCTTTTCTTTTCTTTTCTCCTTCCTTCCTTCCTTCCTTCCTTCCTTCCTTCCTTCCTTCCTTCCTTCCTTCCTTCCTTCCTTCCTTTTTTCTTTCATTTGGGATGCCTCGGTGGTTCAGTGGTTGAGCATATGCCTTGGGCTCAGGGCAATCTCCAGGGGTCCTGAGATAGAGTTCCACATCAGGTTCCCTGCAGGGAGCCTACTTTCTCCCTCTGTCTATGTCCCTGCCTCTCTCTCTGTGTCTCTCATGAATCAATAAATAAAATCTCATGAATCAATAAATAAAATCTTAGCACACGAGTGGAGGTGGGGTGGGGTGGGTTGGTAGGGAGAGGGACAAGCAGACTCCCACTAAGTGTGGAGCCCAACTCATCTCATGATCTCTGAAATCAAGAGTTGGACGCTTAACCAACTGAGCCACCCAGGCACCTCTGGTAGTTCAAATTTACCCTAAAAATAATAATGCCTAGATTGCCTATGGCTAGTATAAAGCATACTGAAGTTACCCTGTGGTATATTATCTGAAATGGTTTGTATTTGTTATCTTGGGGAATAAGCCAGAAAATGACCTTCTGATGATTTTATCCCCAGGATTCATTCTATATTACTATTTTAAGATTTCTTTGTAGGACTTCCTTAAGCAGATATAATATCATATGATAAAAATCACAGGTCATTCTTTGTTGTAATAGATTTTGGTTAAGATAAAATAATTTCAAGAAATCATATTCTCAGTTTGCAGTACTCAGGGAAAAAGCAGGTAGAAGCCAAAGAGGAGTTTAGAGGAAAACAGAGGGCATCATATAAATACCATATGACTTTGGGAATTAGATGAGTTTTTGAGTTTTAAAGAGGGGTATAAGGAGAAAGGAAAGGTAATTGCTATTTGATGGCAGAACAAAAAGACCTTTAGGGATAACATACTCTTTTCCCCTTCCTATAGTTGGGAATGGGGTTTTCTTAGAGATTATTACATTTACAGGGATAAGGGAAAGCACTGATTGTTGTAGAGATTCTGGTGTAACAATAAGTCACTCAAGATTTGGAAATTGAATCTATATAGAAACATTTCTTTTTTGCTCATATCTATAGTAATGTGGCTTTTATCTTAAGCAGGGTCTGCTAATAGATGCATTATTGTGGCAAGTAGTTCTAGGATTTGACTAAATGATAAACAATTAAATATCTCATCCTATGCTTGGTAAATTATTCTTTTGTCATAAAAGAATAAATAGGTTTCGGTCCTAATAGGAGATAGTCTGATCCTATCTCAACTCCTTACTTATTTGTCTCTATATGGTTTTCTAACATAAAGAATGACTTCCTTCTCTGCCTGCCTCCCCCCAAAAGAGAGCCTTATTCTATCATAGATAGTAAATAATAGGGTTAGAGGATCCCTTAAAGATTAGAATTACACAATCAGCAGAAGAGAATCAATAAATATTTTCAATATGCAGACTATGGATCTACATATGCTATGATGTACACAACAAATAATTAGGTCATCATTGATCAGAAGTGTTAACCTACCAGGATATCTGAATTGGAGTCTGTTCATCTTCAATAGGCTCTTCGTCTGATGAGTCAAACTCACTTGTTTGCAATGAACTAGGCTTCAAAAGAAATCAGTTATGTTAAATAAATGTAAAGAAGAATATTTACATATAAGCTGATTCTTGCTTAAACACACACTGAATGCATATGTGCAATTTATTCAATCTGGAATATCAGAATGATCAGCAATATCAATAATAAATTATTGATTCTTACTGTCCTATTAATAATTACAGTGCTCTGCAGTGGAAAGAGAGTTGGATTGGGAACAAACCAGGATTCTGGTCTTGGCTCTGCCATTTACTGTATAATCTCAGACAAGCAACTTCAGTTTATTCTGGGTCTCAGTTTTTCACAACCATAAAGTGAGGAGATCTATTCATTCATTCACAAACATTTCTTGAACACCTTCATTTGCCAAGCTCTGGAGATGCAAAGATCCATAAAATAAATAGCTTCAGTAGAGTTGGAGAGATGTGTGCATAGGTTATAAAAAAAGAAAGTGCTAAAATGGAAGCATAAACTACATTTTTAGAGCCGGGAAGGGAGTGACTGCTTAGAGAGCTGGAGAACGCTTCAGAGGAGAGACATTAGCTGGATTTTGAAGGATGAGCAGGAGGTTTTTAGGCAGATAGGGAAGAAATTAAGGCAATAAAGGCAAAAGGAGAAAGGTTTTGTTTTCAGGAACTGTGATATCAGAGCAGGGGAGATGAAGCCAGAGAAGTAGTTTACCTACCCCATTTCTCAAAAAATAAGCCCAACAGCCCAGCAGCTTGGTTGATGGGGAGAGGACAGACAGGAGATCATGCCCTCAACTTTGTGAGTCATTGGACTAGAGAGACTGAGATGGACTTTGTGTAATGATCTAAGGAGTTGGAACTCAATCCTGTAGGCGTAATTTCTACATGACTGATAGTTGTTTTATAGGACCAATAAAATATACATCTTTCTTCTTACTTCCTGGTTGGAACCTACTGAGAGATAAAACAGTGGAGAGGCAAATGGAGATCAATATGTTAATTTCATTGCTGAGTATCAAAGGGAAGGTGTGGCTTTAAAGCTGTGGTCAAGTGGCCAGTCAGTTCTTCACTCCAGAATTGGACTTATCCATCCAGTCATGGGCAGCAATGGATAACCCAGGGCTCCTGTGTTGCAGAGAATCCTCTCTCTGCAGAGAGAAGAAAGGGTTCAGCTACTTGTATTCAGTTCCTCCCAAACTGGGGGATCAGATCTCTCTGTCCCTTCTGGGAACAGGCGGAGAAAGAGGCCAGGAGTGAAGGACAGCTGATGCTCCTCCACATGGAAACGTGGGGATTAGCAAGGGTAACCAGCTAATGTTCTTTCTAGCTCTGAAGCTATATTCTATAATGGTCTTGTCTGTTACTACAAGATCACATTACAGAGCCATTTAGGCTAAGGATGTGAGTTGCTTTGGATAATTATTATTATCAGCTCAAATGAAGGCCCTTTAATATTCAATAGGTTGTCAACCCTGGCGGCAGGCGATTGAGTCAGGGAGCCTCAGCATCTTGCGCCTGGTTTTTTCCTTTCTTTTTAAATCAGTTTTGATGATCCAAGATTTTCAGTGTGGCTTCTTTACTCAGGCTCTTCCAGCCAGGCTCACAGATCCTAAACACGGTGAGACGTTTCCGCTCCCCCAGGCCCAGGGATTCCGAACCCCAGGAAGGGACGCAGTGCCAGTTGGCCCCGGGGGATGGTGACGCACCCACAATCGGGGGTGGGCAATGGTCTTCTGCGAAGTTCTCCCCGTGTGCGGTGAGGACCGCTCGCCAGCGGGGCATCCTCGGGCATCCCTTGGGGCTGGGTATCGGGCAGACTGACGCATCCAGACACCTGAACTCTCCATGCCTCCGTTTCTTCGTAAAACGGGATTCAGCCCTCCCTGGCAGGGCTGCCGGGGGGCCTTGGAGACTCCTCGGGCGGCAGTCCCCGGCCTGTGCGCAACAGGTGCACAGCGGCTGCCCGTCCTCCCCGTGACCACCACCACCGACCCTGTTCCTGCTCCGTCATCGCTCTCCCCGCTCCGGGGAAGCGCCACCTCCCCGACCCAGGACGGTTACAGCGCGAGTCCGGCCACGACCAGGCCTGGACAGGCCCCAGGCCCAAGAGCTGGCCTCGGGGCCGCTTCCGTCTCAGTGGCATCGCTCGTCCACGCCTCGGCCCGACTCACCGGCTTCATCGCGGGCCGCACCAAGTCGTGAGCCGCGGCCGCCTGGCTCCCGCAGCCCCCGCTCCGCGGCCGCTGCCCCACGCCCAGCCCGCCTCTTCGCTCAGCTCATTGGTAGAGCCTTCCGTGGGGGCGGGGCGCGGCGTCTTCCGGGAACCAATCAGACCCCGACCCTGTGTCTTCCTCCGCCCCCGAGCGCCCTGGCGCCGCCTTTAACCGCCCATTGGTTTTTAGGGGCCTTTGAAAGATGCGCGGGAGGAGGGTCCTGCTGAGCGTTGATTGGCTGGGAGGGCGCCCTCCTCCGGCCCGTGGGGAGCGGCGGGACGGCGGGAAGCCGGGAGCCCAGAAAGCATCCGAAGGCAGCCCCAACATTTTGGGGTCGCTGGAAAGCCTTACTTTCTCGTGACAGGATTCCAGAGGGGCACCAGGGTAGGGAATTTTGTTTCTTAAAATTGTGAAATTTCAAGGGCACAGGGGGAAGCACTGTCCTGGAGCATCTCATGAAAACGCTCCACACTCCCATAAACTTTATACTTGCGGTCATATCTGGTCATATAAATATACGATGGACGCGACTAAAAATCCAGAATATAAACATAGCTTGTATGTTTGGTCTTTTATTTACCACAGGTTAGGTCGTAGATCCACTTTCCTGTTCACTAAATGTGAATGCAATGGGATTGTGTGAAAGGAAGTCTCCAGATGGTTTTAAGTGCTCGAGTTTTTACATAATCGGCTATATTCTTTAAAAACTGTGTTTGATTACCCTCTGCCCGATTCTCCGGTCCCCAGTTAGCTGTCCGTGGGGTAGGAACTCATCATGAGCAATATTACCTGCAGATCTGCAGAATATGTGGGAACATCAGCTCCCTGACTCATGTTGTGAAAACCCGTGGGTATAGAGCTGTTAGGGGAAATTCTTTAGTAAAGAAGATAGCATAATTTGACTTTGGGTCTGTATTAGGGTTCTCCAGAGAAACAATCAAATAAAGAGATTTATTTTAAGGAAGCGGTTCTCCCAGTTGTGTAAGTTTGGCAAGTCCACCAAGTCTGACCGGGAGCCTAAGGGGCTGGAGACTCAGGAAGGAGTTGCAGGTGCAGTTCAAAGGCAGTCTGCTTTAGAACCGGGGCTAGCAGATTTTGCAGATGAAGTCCAAAGGCAGACTGCTGCAGAATGCTCTCTTGTCCTTTGTTCTATTCAAACCTTCAACTGATTGAATGGGGCCCACCCATATTATAAAGGGCAGTCTGCTTCACTCAGAGTCCACCAATTTAAATATTAATCTCATCCAAAACCACCTTCACAGAAACATCCAAAATAATGTTTGACCAAATATCTGGGTGCAATAGCCCAGCTAAGTTGACATATAAAATTAGGCAGCATAGACATGTTGGACTTGATTTATTGATTGGTTGATTGATTCAGAAAATATTTATTGAGCACCACTTGTGTCTGAGGTACTATTCAAGATGCTGGGAGTGAACTCGAGTGAATTAACCAAAGTCTCCACCTTTATGGGGCTCACTTGCTATTGGGGAAGAGAATTAGGTAGTAATATTGCTGTGAAGAAAAATTAAAATAGAGCCTGATGAAGATACTATTCTAGATAGAAAAGTCAAGGAAGGCATCTTTGAGTAAATGTCATTTGAGGCATCCAAATGAAAAGAGAGTGAACCATTTGAATATTAGTCTGTCTATAATGTAAGGAGGTGCAAAGGCCCTGAGGTAGGAATGTGTTAGATTGTTCAAGGAACAGCAAGGAGGCCAGTTTGGGAGAAACTGAATGAGGTAGAGAGTGGTAGGAAGTAAAGCAGGGACTTGTGGGAGGCTTAGGAGCTTCTTTTCTAAAGGATTCAAGAAAGGGTTTAAAGAAAGATTGAGACCTGGGCTCCAGGTAAGTCCTCTGTGGTAGATATTCAATTCTTTCTCATTCTTTAACTTTCACCTTCTTTCTCCTTTTGCCAACATTGTCTTCACAGATCTCTTTAAACTTCAGCATCAGGGGTCTCTTCCATTTCCTCAGAACATACCCTTCTCCTCGGAATGAATGAAGTCCCAGCTCCTTCGAGTATTGTATAATTTCTGCCACCTCTGGGCTCAGCTGGATGTGAACACAGAATCAATCTGTTCTAGCTCCTGCTGATTCTGCGGAGTGGGACGATGAGCTGTAGTCTCATGGTAGAAAGGGGGTGGAGGGCTGAGGGTAAACTGGGAGCATTTCAGCTTCTGCTCTCTCCATCAGCAGGGCTGTCAGGCTTTGTCTTTGCCTAAAGACAAACACATCTCACTTCTATGATGTAGTTTTTTGTTTGTTTTTGTCTAGTCCCAGGGTTAGCAAACTGTGGCCAATGGACCAAATCCCACAGACCTGTTTTTGTAAAGTTTTGTTGGAATACAGCTACACTCAATTGTATAAGTATTGCCTGTATAATTTTGCACTACCGGGCTGAGTAACTGCACCAGGGGCTGTGTGGCCTGCAGATCCTAAGATATTTACTGTCTGGTCCTTTACAGAAAATGCTCACCCCTAGTATATAGTCTATGAGGGAAATGTGTATTGTTCTAATACCATGATTTTAAGTCTACTTCTTGCAAAATAGGAGTCCTAGCCTTATTATGCAAAAAGATGTTCTCTGCTTGGTGTGGTCCCTTTCTTATGGAGGGTCCCACATAAAATGGCAAGGCTTTTTGCTGAGCTGTCTGGCTAAATGGCATCACAGTAACCTATTTTCTCTCTAATCCCCAAGATTCTTCCCTGAGAGGAGGGGGGGGCTTGAGTTCAGCCTGCTACACCTGCAGTCCCCAGTTAATTTTTTAGTGTATGACTTCACAGCTGTTAACAGGAATGTATGTGGTCAACACAACGTGGGAGATTTATCCAAACTACCAGAAGGAAAAGTGTTAACACACGTCCAAAGACAGATGAGTATTTTGAAAGATACTCAAAGAGAAGTGAAACATGGTTACTATTGGTAGTCCCACTTGGGTGTATGCTTTACAACTAGATCCGTATTTTAAAGATATTTTAGTATTATTATTATTATTTTTAATTTATTCAGAGGCAGAGAGAGAGAGAGGAAGGCAGAGAGGCAGAGACACAGGCAGAGGGAGAGGCAGGCTCCATGCAGGGAGCCCGACGTGGGACTCGATCCCGGGTCTCCAGGATCACACCCCAGGCTGCAGGCGGCACTAAACCGCTGCGCCACTGGGGCTGCCCAAGATATTTTAGTATTAATGATAATGGATTTGACAAGTGTGTTTGGGGAGAGAACACTGGAACCTTAGAGTTAAATGCAACTTCAGAGAACATACTTCTTCATTCTTGATATGCCAAGTTTAAGAATTTCTCGTGATGATGACAGTCAGAAACAGTGTATGACATGGCAGTCGGCATATGTGGTTTTCCCATTGCTTTTCCCTTTGGAGAATTGCCCCTTTTTCATTTCACATGATCTTGTTGAGCAGGTGACTGAGACTGCCCCATAAATGTACCCTATTCTTGTGGTCACAGTTATCAGGTCAGGGAAGACACATGATGCAAACTGGAGCATCCTTTCTCGTTTCGTGTCCTCTAGTTGCTGGTGCTCTTATTTTCATCTCTACCTTCCTAAGGTTTCTGTTTTACCCCAGAATGATGCTGAGTTCTAATTTGCACTAGACAATTAGAGTGGGTTATAAAAACTATTTAACATATTGTTTAAAGTTTAAAAGGTACCATATTTTATAATTGGAATGGATATAACAATTTCACTTAGCCCACATGCTCTTCTGCAATGTGACTTTGCCATGCTCCATCATGAGGTAGAGCATAATACTCTTCCTCAAATATGAATGAACTTACGACTAGTTTGATTAACAGTGACAAATGATAAGCTCCCAAAGCACCCGGATCAAGAAATGGAACATTACCAGCTGCTTTGGACTTGTGACAGTATTGATTAATTTCACTTGCTTGTAAATTGTATACAAATGGAATATTTTGTGTCTCGCTTTTTTTGTTCAACTTGATGTTTGTGAGATTCATTCATGCTATTGTCTGTGGTTATATTTGTTCATTCTCATGGCAGTATTCCACTGTATGAATATACTACGATTTATTTATCCTATCCACTGTTGATAGATATTGGGTAGTTTCCAGTGCTGGGCTATGATAAAAAATGCTGCTATAAACATTCTTTCCATGTTTTTTGGTAAACATATGTATACATTGCTGTTGGGCATATACGAGGAGTGGAAGTATGTTTGTTTATTCTTAGTCCATAGTGCCAAACAGTTTTGCAAAAAGGTTATACCTATTCACACTCCCACTGGCACCATGTCAGAATTCTAGCTCGACATCTTTGCCAACATTTGGTATTGCCCGTCTTTTTCATTTTAGCAGTTGGATGAATGAGTCATTTTATTTCAAAACAGTATCTAATTTCAAATCTTTGAAAGGCTAAGACTGATCAGTTGGATAATAGGATCAGTAGATGCTGTTCTTTAAATGGTAGCAAAAGTTCATAATTTTTGGATTTCTTCTGTATTATGTGTTACTATGTACACATATTTTCTGCATTATTTTAGAAATGTTTGTATCATTGCAACATACATATTTTGAGAGTATAAGGCTACTTTAGATGATGAAACTATTGATATGAATTGAGTGGATCCAAATGATGAAGGTTCTCAAATTTAGACATCAATGAGCTCCTCATGTGATGGTGGAGGAAATATTAAGTTTCCAAGGCATCGCCAGCTTGGGGCTAAAGTAAGTCATAGGAATCATTCATTATGAAATAATATTCCTCTGGTTCTTCCTTCATCTACTATGTGAAACTTTGTATTCCTTATGATAGTTCAGCGAGCCCTCATGGATGACCCTCCATATGCTCTGAGATATAAGAGTAAGGCACCCACTGTCTTTGGCTCTCCTGCTTGTGGTTGCTGGGGTAATGTGTCTGGTCACTGCGTAAGCCTGGAGCAGCAGCCATGCTGACGTCCACCGAAGGTGCTGTGACTTTCCACTGCCATCCCACCCAACTACAGTGCCCTTCTCTGTCGCTGCTGCTGAAATTGCTGGCACAGAATTT